ATATGGTCTTTTCTCTTGAAATTAATCTCGGGAAAGGCTTGTTTCAGTTTTGTCGTATTTAATTGTTACTTTTTATTCAGTTGACCTCAAATATGTTTTAAGTTATTCTTCATTCTAGTCAGTTTGTGTGATCCTATCCACAATCCCCCATTCATCCATCTTAAACCAATTCAGTCCATTTGTTTCCTCATCTCATTCAAGAAGAACCAGTATCAATCCGGATGAGTTCCTCTGTTTGTGACTCCACGTGCAAGGCGCTTCCGCCGTAAATCCACCGGAATGTTGACACAGTTAAATTGTATTTTTTTTCGTAATTTATTCGTTACACCTCGCCGTGATGTAGTGACTGTTTTGCTTTGACAATTTCAACTTCACTGCGAATGCGAACACGTTCTCAGGGACGTTCGAGTCGGGGAATGTTTGAAGTTAGTTGATTAAAAAGTAAACATCGGGTCGCTCAGATCCGAGCGCATTAACAGATACGTGAACAATGTTGTGCAACATAGAACTGAGCTGAAATAAGCCCGACGAACTTGAGATTAGACATGGGTTGATATTTTAAATAACAACCAACAAAACATTCATTTCAAACCGTCCGTGAAAACACGGTTGACCGATGCACATATATCTCTGTTTTGTTTTCAATTGGGCCACGGATGGAAGATTGCTTGCAGCGGAAAGTTTTTTCACACATGACCCATATATGGTAGACCCTGTGGTCACCAACCGTGTGCAACATAAACTGATCGTCAGAAAGATAGTAGACGACCAAACGCCTCCTTGGCAAGCTGTATTCATGTGCCTACTTGGTCCCTTGTAATTGTCAGTTTCAACCTTGGGTTTGGTTACTTTAAACTCGTATACGTCGTCCTTCTCCTCACTAAATCAGAACTGAATTCCGAACAGTTCTCCTCCGGATAGAATAACTGGTTGTCATAAAAGTGTTTCACTCCACCTCAAACAAATTTTTCATTGTGGCTGGTTTTCATTCGAGTACTAATTCTCCCCCCCCCCCCT